AATCAAATATCAGGTTAACTCACAAACATTAAGAGTTTTTATATTTTTCTTCATATATATAAATTGAATATTAAGTGCTAAAAGTTTTTTTTTCATTCTTCGATATTATTTTATTAAGGATCAATTTTGAGATCATAAAAAACAAGCGCCAATAAGAAGAAGAAAAAAAAAATACTACTACTACTATAAGAGAAAAAGAGAAAATAGTGAATCCATATATTAAAATTTTGTTTTTTCAATTAACGAAGTTGTTCAGTAAAAGCATGTTACAAACAATTTCTTCTTCAATATCAAAATTTTTTTTAATCAAATAAATAGGTTTTAATTTTTCTATACAGTAAAAAAAAATTTATCATTAAGAATAGCAGTGTTGTACTATGCAATCTTTGGTAGGTTTTCAATTAGTTTAAAACATTTATTTTAATGTAAAATATGACTCTAAACGGAGAAACAAACATGATAATTTTTTGTTTCTAAAATGTTACGGGTTTTCATTTATATTTATAGCGAAGTGTTTCGAAAAATGTCAATAATAATGGCACATCATCGAATAAAAATATACTAAAATATTCAAATAATTCAACAGACATGATCATCAATGATCAAACATCAGATGATGATGGCGGTGGTAATGATGATCTGTACAACATAGCAGAGAAAGTGTCGTTAAATAACGAAGAAGATGATCAAAGCATGATTTCTACCAGTGATTTATTACAAAATAGTGTACCACCTGTTTTACATTTACGTGATTACATATCAATGAATAAAAATTCAATGCATACACTTGATTTAGAACGTTGTTTAGATCAAACGCATGAAATTGATGAAATACCTTATATTGATACGATGGAAACGGTATTATTGGGATATAATTATTTAACAGAGGTAGAATAGAATATTGATAAAAATATTTATTGTATATTAATTCTAATATCATCTCTTTTCTCTTTAGGTACCATTATTTATATCATCGTACATTTATTTAACAAAATATTGTGCTAATAATAATGAATTAAATAATATTGAATTTCTTTTACATTCACATCATGTTGATGATAAAAAAGATGAAATATATTGGAATAAACGATTAATAACAAAAAATAATAGTCAACGTCAAAAACAAATTAAATATTATGAACCATTAAATTATGGAATAAATGATAAACATTTAATAAATTATTCACTTTTAGAATATATTGATGTTTCATTTAATCATATTAAATATCTTCCAAATAATATTTATCTTTTACATAATCTTCATACATTTAATTTATCACATAATTATATTGATAAAATACCAGAAAATTTTGGTCTATTATCCGAATTAAAATATTTATTTATTAATAATAATTCATTACAATTATTACCAGAAACATTTTCAAAATTAAAAAATTTAATTCAACTTAATTTATCAAATAATCATATTAAATCATTTGATTTAATTAAAAATTTATTATCATTAAAATATTTAAATATATCAAATAATAATTGTCTCAATTATTTTCCTCATCTTTTATCAACATGTTCAAATATTGAAAATTTAAATTTATCAAATTTAAATTTAAATCAATTTTTATTAGAAACAACAAATGATAAATATAATTATATAGAAGAAATATTAATAAAATTAACAAAATTAAAATATTTAAATTTATCATCAAATAATATTAATGAAAATATTTTATTTAAAACATTTAGTCAATTTAAATATTTAGAAGAACTTTATCTTGATAATAATAAATTAAAATTTGTACCATTTTTATCAGATATGATATCATTACGTT